TTTTTTTTTTTTTTTTTTTTGGATGAAAAAATAAAAACTTTTTTAGAATGAGCATATTGATTTATTTTTGATAGAGCACACAAATGCCAACAACAAAGAGATCCTCACCGATGGGAAGTAGGAACTGCTAACTGGTTAGACCTTTTGTTGTGCATTTTCAGGCACTGGCAGAGGAACCACCCATGTACCCTCACCAGTTTTTCCGTACACTGCTTGATTTGGCATTAGAGAGGTCCATATGAAGCTCTCAGAATACTATTGTCAATATCTCCATTGTTTTCCTCTGTAAACTCCTTTTTATGTGGCTTTGGGGGGCACAACTCTCAACTTGTGAGCTTGTTAGAAACAGAAAGCATATGTATTTGTTCAGTTTGTAATTTATGTAGCAAGCAGATTACCTTAAAATGTTTGTAATGTTGTTGTAAATGTAAGGTCAAAACAAACTCAGATCAAGGCAAAAGCACCACAATTTCACTACCAGGCAGAGCCTCAATTTTATTTTCTTTTTCTTTTTCTTTTTTTCAGGGCCCAAAAAATTAAAAAATTGAATTGGTATAAATATTAGGTCACTTATTCCAGCGACATGTGGCAGTTAAGCGGCCTACCACCCAAAAACTTTGGGTTGAAAAAAGTCGGAGTTTCTTATGAGCTCGTGAAGCTTTTCTTATCTTTGTGTGGGTCCCGTGCGGTACCAAATTGACGTGGCAAATCCAAGGTGGTGCGCGGGAGTACCGTTTTGAATCTTTACTGCATTAAGAATTGAATTATTTTATTTTGTTCTTTGTAAAGAAAAATAGTGGTATAGCTTTTGCAAAACTTTTTCGTTTTTGCTTTTTGTCTGTTTGCTTTTTCTTGTCTGACGAATATCCTTCTGTTCCGGCCGGAGGACATATGTCACTGGCTGAAGACCGGTAATTGGGAAAGACTTGGTGAAGGTAGACAAGAAAAATGAAGTAATGTTTACATGTGAACCTCTCTGATTATTTGTTCACCATCCATAGCTCTCTTCTCTTTTCACAGAAGTATAGAAACTCAGTCTCAGAAAATTGTAAGTAAATCTTGGACTGCTTTCTTTCGTTCATATTTTGTGTGTGAATTGTGATAGTTTTGAATTTGCTTGTTTGAGAACTAAATGCCTTCTCTGCTGTGAGCATGGAGTCCATGGACCATAAATATCTTAGAACCGTTGTGTACTTAAGAGCCTCAAGTCTTTCTGTTTTTGAATGGTTGGGTTTTCATTCCACTAATGTCTGTTGGCGAGTACTTACTTAGTTAGGATTTTGGTTACTTACTAGTTTATTTAGTCCTAGTGTAATTGAGAATTATTTCCTATTTTATCTAGGTTAATACATCTTTGTACTTCTTTATAAATGAAGAAGAATACATCGGAAAATTCCCATATACTTTGTTTTGACAATGTCTGCTTTAGACTTTTGTGTATAGCCATTCAACTTCCATGGTGAATGAAACTTCAGTTTGCAATCCTTTTCTTTCACAAGTTGGAACAGGATTTCAGAAAATGACTTCACCCTCTCTCTCTCTCTCTCTGTTTCCTTTTTGCCCTACATTTGTTCTGAATTTTTTGGGACTTTGGCTTTGATCATCTAATGTAATTGATTAGGTTATTGATCATGAACATGTAAAAGGTGAAGAGCTACAGTATGGTTCAGCATTCTGAACTTCAGTAATAACTAATGAGCATGCTGGTGTAGACTGGCGTTCTATTGGTGCTTTTTGAGTTTCAAACTTCTCGAATTGTATGAATTTCAGTTTTGGTTGCAAAGTGACTCCAGCTTTGGTGGTAGCATAAACGAGATTGATAAAAGAACTTGAGGTGCTACTAAAATGGTTACAAGGCTAATGACGACAGTGTGCTTTATATTTCAACATCACAAGAGGGACGGCTTACTTAGCGATGAAAATCACAGAAGAGATGAAATCTCAAGATCTGTACCTTCTTCAAAAAGCCAAGGTTTGCGAGAATGTTTCAATGGGATTCTTGCTCAGAAGATTGATTGGGCATCCATGAGTAAAATCTGCAAAAAGTGGATAAAGAACCCTCTGAATATGGCCATCCTTTTATGGATAAGTTGTGTTGCCGTCTCAGGAGCAATCCTATTTCTTGTGATGACGGGAATGTTAAACAGCGTCCTGCCCGAGAAGTCAGAGAGAAATGACTGGTTTGAGATCAACAATCAAATCCTCAATGCTCTCTTTACTCTTATGGCTCTTTACCAACACCCAAGGAGGATCTACCATCTTGTACTTCTGTTGAGATGGAAGCCAAAGGATGTCTCATTGCTTAGAAAAATGTACTCTAAGAATGGTACTTACAAACCCCATGAATGGGCACACATTATGGTGGTAGTTTTTTTACTCCATTTGAATTGCTTTGCTCAGTATGCCTTGTGTGGGCTTAACTTGGGATACAAAAGATCTGAGAGACCTGCTGTTGGTGTCGGTGTCTGCCTTTCAGTAGCAATTGCTGCCCCTGCAATGGCAGGTGCGTACTGCATTGTTAGCCCCCTCGGGAAGGAGTATGAGGTTGATCATGAAGCACAGGATCATATTCTCACTAATGGCACAAGCCAGTCCGGCCACTCGATGATGAAGTCATTCAAGAGGACAATTTCATTTGCATCTAGAGATGGCCAAAGGATTTCTGAGCATGCACCTCAATGGAGAGGGGGTTTATTTGATTTTCAGGATGGTATTGCTATATCTTATCTATCTCTTTTCTGCAGCTTTTGTGTTTTTGGGTGGAACATGGAGAGGCTTGGGTTTGGTAACATGTATGTTCATATTGCAACTTTTATCCTCTTCTGCACAGCCCCATTTTGGATCCTGAGTTTGGCTGCCTTCCATATTGAGAATGAAATTGCCAGGGAAGCTTTGGGTTTAACAGGCATTGTCCTTTGTATGTTTGGTTTGCTGTACGGCGGCTTCTGGAGAATTCAAATGAGGAAGAGATTCAACTTGCCAGCAAATGACTTATGCTGTGGAAAGCCTGCAATTACAGATTGTGCGCAATGGCTTTTCTGTTGCTGGTGCTCACTTGCTCAGGAAGTAAGGACAGCCGATTTCTATGACATAGTGGAAGATAAGTTCTGCGGGAAGCAAATGAGTGAGCATGACAAGCCTGCACTATCGCCCTTATCGCGTGAGAGTGGAATTACTGAATATAGATTTGATCAAACTTCTCTACTTTCGAAGAATCCTACAAGTCCAAGCAGACTTCAAAAAGATTACCATAGTCTAGATAGACAGCTCCCCAAGGTGAAAGAGGAATCTACAATGGAGCCCCCTGTTCCATTGATATTGCAGAGGGAAGAGAATATCCAACCAAGGACACAAAAAGGAAGGAATTATTAGTGAAGTTCTGGAAAGACTACAGGAACTATTATGTGATTTTGATAAACTCATTTTCTTTGGCATCTTTATATGTTGTATGTTGAAATGAAATATGAGCTTATATTACACTTCAAATACATACATATTGGAAAAAATTTATTCTCTATGTCTTTGCTAGAAGTTTTGGGCAGAGCTAGCCCACAAAGGTAAAGCTCATAGTTCAGAACAATGCAGCAATGGTATTGAATTAAGTCATCTGATACCAATTTGACCACACAAAATGTACTTGCATAGAGCTAAAACCACAATGATTTTGGTTAAAAAATCCAGCCCCAGAAATAAGTTTTAGACCTACTGAAACTGAAGTAATTGGCTGTGAGATTCAGTGGTGGTGGCTATGTAGCCTATTCTGCATTAAACAGAACTCGCAAACTAAGAAATCAACAATCCATCAAGCAATTAAATAATTAAGTAACTGGTCAAGGGGTTTATCTTTATTGGTAGTTCCATTTTATTTGACAGACAACAGCAGTTCCATTTTCTTAACACATCACAGAAGACCAGATATATCTCTCATGCATTGTTCAAACTCAAAGCTTCAACCCACAAGTACCCTTCATTTTATTTTCTCAGTATTTTATTTTATTTTATTTTTTCTTGCTAATCAACAAGTTGTCTGGAGCTCTTGAAGCACCAAACCAACCACGGATATATATATATATAATAAACTCTAAATAGCAAGCAGAATGCTTGGCAAGGAGCGGTGGAACAGGTCTCTTGGCATGCTCTGCCACACAGTGAAGCTCTCCCAGCCCTGCGGCTTCAGATCCCTGACAGTGAGCCACGTGTTGAAATACTCCCTGAAATGGGTGATGAGGCCTTCTTTGAGGGTCCACACATGCACCCAATAGGCCTTTGCGCCTTCCCATCCCTCAACAATCACACAGTCACCAACCTCTGTGATGCTTCTTGGCTCGAACCTGAAGTCTGTGTGGCTTGCCTCCCCTGTAAGCACACGCATCATGTGCTGGCTCTGTGGAGGGCCATGGAACCACCATTCGAGGTCACTTGCTAGAAGCTTTGCTACTGCTTCGGTGTGGCCTTGGGCCAGTGCCTTGTACAGGGCTTCTACTATTGCCTTGTCCTGCATTTTTCTGGCTTGTACAGGGCTTCCCCCTTACTAGGGTCTGAGGGAGACAAGGGAGAAGTTAACTAGGAATATTTGGCTTGCCCTTTGGATGCATAGGAATATGGCTAGGTGGAACCGTTTTTATAGCAAAATTGAGAGCCTAAAATTACATGACTTGAGAATAATAGAAAAATATTGGTTCCAGCACAAATCATAGTTTGACACAACCTTTTTCCTTAGTTATTTTAATAGACTATTTGTATATATATGTGTGTGAGAGATTTGCGAGAGTGAGAGGAATGACTCTTTACACGTAAGAAACTCAGCAGTGTTTTTAAGAATATATTTCCCTGGTGAGCACACGTTCGATAGGCTAGTTGGCTAGAGCAGTGTGCTGGCTCTCTTACACCCAAGTTTAAGTCCCCTTCTTCATATTTGGAAAAAGGGATATTTGTAGAAATGTCATCTGAACTTATACATCAGTTTCAATTTGTCATTTTAAAGAAAAATTTAAGCGAAATATCACCTTAAGTTTTCAAAATTCATGATTTGTCATCTAATTTTAACATCATCTAATTTTCCATCCATTTTGAAGGGTATTTTAGTCTTTCCAAGCAAGAGGATTTACATAGCTCTATATTTTAATTATATGAAAAAGTGGGTTTACATATTGGAAAAACTAAAATACCCTTCAAAATAGATGGAAAATTGGATGATGTTAAAGTCAGGTGACAAATCATAGATTTTAAAAACTTAAGCTGATATTTTGCTTAAATTTTTCTTTAAGGTGACAAATTGAAACTAATGTATAAGTTCATGTGACATTTCTACAAAAATCCCTTGAAAAAAAGAATATACTACTCTAGTGATTGGTTCCTTTCATGACATTGAAGATCCAATGGTCAGGATTTGCTCCAACCACTTAGATATATTTACTGTTTAATATGACTACATGAAGTATTCTTCTTTCGGCTCATAAATAATTAATGTATCAACAGGAAAAGCATGCACTTAAGTCAGATTAGATATTTGAATGGATGTATTAAATAATCATAAAACTCTAAGCTTTCCTGGGGACAAACGAGAACGACAAGGGGCTATTGTAGGTATAGAAGTGCCGATGAACACTAAAACTTACTATGGCTTGAATCTAAAAAGTTGGGTTATGTCACTTTACTTGTGCATCATCCTAGAACAATTTTATTTTTATTTTCTTGGTATATTTGTGCTAAAATTGACCCCTTTGAACTCTCATATCTGGATTCTTTTGAATTGGTCATACTCGACCGACTTAATTAATCCAACACCTTCCAAAAACTTGGAGAATCATGAAACATGAACAAAATGATTGCATAGTGAAAGCTAGGATAGGAGGATTTGTGTCGAATATTTGATTAATCTTAATAGGACCTATTTGATTGTTTGTTCGAGATAAACTCAAACTAATCTGACATGTTTATTTTGAGTCATATTTCATATATCTTATGAACTAGAAAACTTGGTATTAGGATGCTCCTATTTCTAAACTAAATATATTATTCACAAAATAAAAACCATATGGTATATAATTCTTCACAAAATGTGATTTGAATTTTCATAACATAATGAAAATTCTCACCCTAACTAGCATATATTAAAAGAAAAGAAAAATATAGGGGGAAAAATAGATCATAAGGATTGAGATTTTTCCGAAAACCCGCAGAAGAAGTTGTTGATTAATGTTTGAATGTATGGGATATACCGTTCGCAATTTGACATACAATAACGTGTGAACGTCCGCATAGGAGAATAACTATGTGTATATATAATATATAATATATAATATAACATATTTATTATCTAACATCGTCTCCTTTTTCCTTTCTTTATAGATGAAAATGAAGGTAGCCAAAAACAGCTCCATGACACATCAATAGTACTGAACATCCCTCTCCTAAAGTGTAAAAGAAGTCATGGACTTAGACGAAAAGATTGCATGTAGCTGATTCAAAAAATTCCTCCCTTGCAATTTGCCTAGTTGTCTTGAAAACGAATTATTTGTTGTCTTTTCACGAGAAATAAAACAAAACAGTGCCTAAGCACAATACTATAATAGAAAGAAATGATGGAGGGAGACTTTTGTAATTTAGAAAGTTAAAATGGGAAACTAGTTGACGGTGGCGGCTCAGGAGATGCCAAGCTGTATGAGTCCGACCGCTTTGACTCCGTTGTGTCGTCGTTTTTTAAGGAAACTATTAACCGGTGAAGGTAGAAACGCCGTAACTTTCAGCGTGAATGTGTCATTGAAATTCCCCAAATACCTTTTCTGTCTTAATTCTCTTGGCTGGACCCCTAACCTTTCAATAATGGAGTTGTGTGTTTTCTTTTTCTTCCATGCACAGTCCCACTCCCCACCCACCCACCTAGCATTGCATGATCTTATTTATGCAATTTGGTAATTAATTTGTGTTCAACAACAAAATTAAGATCACCTAAAACAAAATTAAGGTCAACTTGGTGAATTAGGAGGAGTCATGTTGTATTGTAATCATGTTATTTTTCACTTTTCGAAAAATATATGAAACATTAACACATTTTTCCATTCTATTTACCTTATATATATATATATATATACAAACAATATTAGAGAAGAGGGATTCAAATACAGGACTTTGAGTGCAAGGCTTAACCACTTGAGCTACAAGTGAAGCCAACCGACATAAATTTTGCAGCTAGCTAGCACAACCCTTAAATTAAATCCTGTGAATTTTATAGCCCCATATACGGAGGAGAGCCCTCCGTTTCTTCATTTTTAGATCAAACCTAACCCTAACTTGTAAGACAACACAAAAAACAAAAAACAAAAATGTGACAATGATATTGAGTGGCCAAACATTTATGAAGACCAGTTGGATCCAACCCAGAACCCCTCGTGCACAAGAGGATAGAGATTCTTGTAATTTAATCCGAGTGAAGCCCACATAACCAGAATTATTGAATGTACAATGAATTGAGAAACTCATATGGATAGGAAACTGAACCAACCATGCATTATTGTTTTTTTCATTAATGTCTTCGATCCACCACTTCTAATTTTCTAGATTCTAGAATCTCTCTGTCTGATGACTCTGATCATAGAATGTTTGGCAAAGTCGCTTAAATGGGATTTGCATTGATTGTTTTTTATCGTTTTTTTGCATCTGCAAATATAATCCACAAGAACTTCTCATCCACGAAATCCATGTTATCTGATCTTCTTGACAGGTAGGAGGAGGTCCATTTTTGAAGCTTAATGAAGCTTATTCCTTGCTTATTAAGCTTAATTAAATCCGCATTCAAATCAGGGAGACTTAATTAGGCTACAAAAGTTGGGCATCACGTTAAGGGCATTTTTGGATCAAATAATTAGGCTGACAAACTAATTATCTTAAAAGTGGACAATGAACAGAAGTTTACGGTACCTAAAATGTGTATCAAGCTGCTTAACTTAACCTAAATATGGTTTTAGGCTTTTGTGTTTGTTGAATGATTAATGTGTCATTATGGTTTTTGATGGGTTTAAGTTTGGTGTCTCAATCATTAATCCACATTAAGGTTAATGTCTTGTTGACTATTATTATTCTCTTCCACATGAATGGAAATTTGTACTATTTCTGTGTGTGGTAGAGTTTTAGCAATTATAGATGGGCCAACTAGGCTGCTAAAACTATGTGGTGCATGTTCTTAGACTTGGCTCTTCAGAATTTTGTTATTGGGTTGAGATCCTGGTATGTGGTACCCCAACAATCAACATTGAGATGAGGTACTTTCGAAACAATTAAAAGAGGATTGATTGATTGATTGATTGGGATCCAATGTGAGTTAGAATTCTTCAAGCATCAATCGCGCTCAAGTACGTGTGTGTGAAATCTAATGGTTGATGCATTGTGAATTCTATGTAAACTAATAGTTAATAAACATCAAAATGCATGTGCGCTAGTGTCAATTGCTCA